CCTTTCTGTTTCATCTGTCAGGCAGGTTTGCCAAGAATAATTTAAATTTCATGCAGCGGCAACTGCGGAGCTTCATTTCTGCTCATCGGGGCCACCCTCCTGCCGGGGGCCTGACGGCCTGCAGCCCAGAGTGGCCATGGTGGGCCGGGCGCGGGGCTCTCCCAGCTCTCGGCATCCTCATGCCTCTCCAGTCGGGGGGGGCCCCCACCAGCGCCAACCTCCAGGGGGCCGGTTTCACCCCGTGGGTCTGGACACTTGGTCCGACCGGATCTCTGAGGCAGCTTTTAAAATTAACTTTTATTGAGTGCTTTATGGGTAGCAGTGCTGTTCTAAGCTTTCCCACACATCCGATTTTAACCAATCCCTACGACCTCTTCACGAGGGAAGATGCTATTCTTACTCCCATTTTAGAGACAATGAGACTCAGAGACACAGTCAGCTCCTAAGAGGCGGAGGTGGGATTCAAACCCGGCTCTGTCTGATGTGACATCCTGAAGCTCTCACTAGCTCTGCAGTGTAGAGTCGGCAGAACCTTTGGGCTACGTTTCCCCACCTCACCCAAGGGATAAATCTGCCCATTTTCTTGCAGCCTGGGCTTTGCTGTCAGGTAGGTGGTTGAAGGGCTGGAGAAGTTCTGGCCACAATGCTGCGCTAACGGTTACCATGGAGAGCACGCTGAGCCAGGCAGCCTGCAGCGAGCAAAGGAGCCAGCCCAGGCGGTCCGCTTCTCACTCGTCGGGGGCCCTCGGCAAGCCTCATTTCCTCTGGGCCTCAGCTTCTAACTGGCAAAACAGCGGCCGGAGGGCACGGTCCCTCTGCTTCTCTCAGGCTCTGGGGACTTGTGTGTGTGTGAGTGTGTTTGTGCATGCACGCATGAGTGTGCGGGCGTGTGTGTGAGTGTGCGTGTGTATGAGTGAGTGTGTGCCTGAGTGTGTATGAGTGAGTGTGTGGGTGCGCGTGTGAGTGTGTGTGAGTGTGTATGAGTGAGTGTGTGCCTGAGTGTGTATGAGTGAGTGTGTGGGTGTGCGTGTGCATGTGTATGAGTGAATGCGTGCATGAGTGTGTATGAATGAGTGTGTGGGTGCACGTGTGTGCGTGTGTATGAGTGAATGCATACGTGTGTATGAGTCTGTGGGTGCGCGTGTGAGTGCACGTGTGAGTGTGTATGAGTGAATGCATGCGTGAACGTGTATGAGTGTGTGGGTGCGCGTGTGAGTGTATGAGTGAATGTGTGGGTGCGCGTGTGAGTGTGCGTGTGAGTGTGTATGAGTGAATGCATGCGTGAGTGTGTATGAGTGTGTGGGTGTGTGTGTGAGTGTATGAGTGAATGTGTGGGTGCACGTGTGAGTGTGTGGGTGCGCATGTGAGTGTGCATGTATGAGTGAATGCATGCGTGTGTATGAGTGTGTGGGTGCGTGTGTGAGTGTGCGTGTGAGTGTGTTTATGAGTGAATGTGTGTGTGTGTGTGTGTGTGAGTATGTGTTGCATTTGGTCACACCCTCCCCTGCCTCAGTGGCCCAGGAATCTGTGCTTGTCCAACTGGACTTTCATCAAAGACCAGCAAGAAATCCTCAGGCCACAGAAAAATGAAGAAACATAAAAATCAACAGGCCTAAGGCAGCAGCGACAGAAAGAATTGTCATCACCTCGCTCACCAGCCTCAGGGAGCCTGGGCAGCCTTCCCTACCCTGAGGAGCTGGGACTGTCCCCCACGGCGTGGCAGAAGCAGCCCCCGTACTGAGGGTGAGCGGGTGGCCAGGCTCATGGGACTCGGGGCAGGAGAGGGGCGGGCTGTCTCTGCATGGGTGGTGATGGCATAGGATGCCAGTGGTCGCCCCCAGCCCCCAGAGAGCTGTGACACCCCACTCCATGCCCAGCCCAGGGGGTTGCTAAGGCCGGACAGCACTAACACTTGTCCCTGAGAGTCACCTTGGGGACCTTTGCCCGAGTTCTCAGGCAGGACTGGCCCACATGTGGCACCAGACCCTTCACCGAGGACGGCAGGCCAGTGTGTTCAAGGCCCCTTGCCACACTCCAGAGTAGCAGGGACACGTGGCTCTGTTCCTGGCTCCCATGCAGCCCCCTCCCTCAACCCCCTCCCACCAGAGTGGGGTCTCGGCCCTGTATACACACTGCACTTTCCTGGGAGGAAGGGGTCCGGTGGTTGAAAAAGCTTTAAAATCCCTTCACTCCATCATCAGGCTCACTAGGTGATGCAGACTCATGGTTATCACTGGATGCCTTCCCTCGGGCTCCCCTTGCTGCCATGATGTCACCTTGGTCATGTCATGCTTCCATGTCACAGACGTGAGCTCTAACCACTCAGAAACACAATTTGCTTCCCCCACCTGCTTGGGGCCTAGCTCCTCTTTCTCATCGAAAGACTTACCTTTTTCTCTTGGTGAGGTTAGAAATGATCCTTCTTCTCCGAAGTGGCATGCCCTTGTCCCCTAGGCTTCTCCTGGGTGACAGTGACAACGTGGCAGGGGTGACAACCACCATGTGCCAGGCTCGGCTATGTTCTGAGCACTGTATATATGTTTGAACTCACACAATGCTCACAACAACTCTGGGAGGCAGGTACTATTACCTATTCCCATTTTGCAGAAGAGAGGCCCAGAGAGGTTAGGTTAACTTGTCCAGGGTTGTTCAGCTAGCAAGAGATAGGGCAGAAGCCAAACCCAGGCAGGCTGGCCCCATAGTCCGTCTTCATCCACAACACTAACCTGCCTCTGCCAAGAACCTCAATGGGAGAGATATTCTCAGGTCATTTGGTCACACTGTTCAGGTCACAGACCTGGTATATCCTGACCTGTGTGTTCCCCGAGGGCCAGAGCTAGGCCTTGGCTACTCGGTAAAGATGCAGCTTGTTGACCAGGGAAACCACAGATACCTTGGTTTGGGCCTGCCTCTCAATTGAGGTGGTGCGGGCATGGGGTTAGACAAATAGGCTGGGGGACAGGCGTCAGGCGGGGGCGCCGCCGCTTGGCCAGATGACAGAGAGGCACCACGGACCAAATTCAATGACAGTGTCCTGGACAGAAGCTGCTGCTGGCTACTCTCCCCCTTCTCCCCTGCACACCCCATTCTCTTGAGCACCTCGAAAAATCCAGGGTGGAAGCAGGCATCTTTGTTTGATTGGACCAGCTCCTGCAGGTCTGGAGCTGGGCTGGAGATGGTTACAGAGGGGACATGTGCCAAGGAGCTGGCTGTCCCACAGGCATGAACTTTCACCCCCTCTCCCCTCCCAGCCCCCCAGGGCAGTCCTCCCCGGATGCTGTTTTCTATCAGAGGCTGGGCTCCTTTCCCCCCATGTGCTATGGTTTGGGGCCCTGCCAGTGAGGGACGCTGAATATCAAGCTGCTTGGGAGCAAAGCAGGAGCTGTGTGGGCAGGACAGCCCTGTGTGAGGGGTCCTCACTGCCAAGTGTCATCCAGCACCCCAGCCTGGAGGGCCAAACCCCTGCCCCAGGTGCAGCCCCACAGCATCCCTAAAAAGGCCTCTACCCAGAGAGGGCCGAAGTCATCAAATGGGCTCCCAGGTCCAGTTTCTCTCTCTGCTGACCTGGAGCCCCCAGTGGTCAGCTCCAGAAGCTGCCATTGTCCAGATGGCCAACAGCTGGCCTTCCTGAGCGGCTGCCAGATGTAGCTGGCGGGGCGGCCGGCTGGCTCCAGCAGGCAGAGGTCACTGCATCGGCGCCCAGGAGAGAAATGCGATCGGCTGGTCTGGGGGCGTCGTGCCCAAATAACCCTCCATCTCCTCTCCCCCGTCCGACATTCCTTCCCTCCCCACCTCAGTGGGGAGGTGTTTTCATAACAGGAAAATAAAATCAATATGGCACTGCAGCAAGATGTCAGCGTGCTCTGAGCTGGCCTCCAATAGCTCCATTGTCTCGGGCCTCCGCTGGGCTCTGGGCCGGCAGCGCTCAGTATTAATGGGAAGCAGGGCTGAAAGGGAGTTTTGAAAATCACGGAGACAAAGGCTCAGCACACCTGGAGCGTGGCTTTCTCACACCACGGCCACCTCACAATGGCCTCAACGGGCCTCCCCCGCCTTTAACTTCTCCCACAACTTTTATGAAAGCAGGGAAGAAAACACTAGACACACACACACACAGATGCACGCGCGCACGCGCACGCACATGCACACGCTGGCTTGGAGAGGGCTCCTGGAGGCTGCTCTGAATGGCTGAAAGAGGCAAAGGTGGCCTGCAGAGCCCCTGCTCGGCCAAGGAAACAGGATGGTCATAAACAGGGCTTCCTGCCCCCGACATGGGCCCATCCCTGAGGAGCTCTGAGCGGCGTGAGGGAGACCAGCTCAGCCTGAAGCCAGTTAAGAGCCTTCGTACCCTTTTCATTTCAGTCTCTCTGTTAGGAACACAGCCTGGTTTCTGCTGTCACTCCCAAGGCTGGAGCCGCCTCCGGAAAAGAGCGATTGCCCCGAAGCGGACTGCTGGGGCCCAAGGCCTGCGTCGCCAAGGAAGGTCCAGCCTTGGACCAGCTCTCACAGACTTGGTGTGTCGCAGTATCCCCAGCTGACAGGTGGGGGACAAAAGTACTGATTCATGCAGTTGGGTGAGGCTGGGGAGAATTCTCAGCAGAGTAGTTAATAAGTAGTAGATTTATGACCATTTATGCCTTACTGCTGGTCACTATCTTCTTGCAAACCCAAGTCACTGGCGCCCGAGGAGGACTTGTGTGGTCTAAAGTCACCTATTTAGGGAATCTTTATGGCCAACTTGGAGTTTGCCGTCCCTACACGCATTTAATCAACGTGGCCTAGGACCGGCTTGTCTTACAAGGTAGTCGCAGACAGAGACTTGACAGCAAATGAAACCATGTGACCCTTCAAAGGTTGGCCGGCCCAGCTCCAGGGACGCCAGTACTCTGGGCAACAGGGTGGCCAGGGCCCAGGCTGTGAGCCTGCGGAGCTGGCCCGGGCCTTCAGGGGAAGAGGGGCCCCGGCGCCCAGCTCCAGCTCAGAGAGGCCACCAGGCTTACCTTGGTGGTGACGGTGGAGGCCGAGCTGGCCACGAGGCTGGTGATGGCCTCGCCACTGCCCGTAGTGCAGGGAGCCGGGGCCGTGGCAGGCGTGGGCAGCCGGGAGGGCACCCCAGGCAGTGGCAGGAGGCCGGGCCGGGCACTGAGGCTGCTGGCCGTGCCGCCACCGGCCCCGGCCGTGGCATTGCAGATGCTGGTGGTCCCATGCGTCCCGTTGGCACTCCACTCGCGGCGGTCCCAGCCCACCCGGTAATCTCTTTCGAAGCGGCTGTGGTGCCGGGACATCTTGCTGGGCCGTGGTTGCTCCTCACAGGGAAACCAAGGCCGGACCTGCTGGCACAGAGTGGAGAGGAGGCGATTTAGACCAACGGCAGCCCTGGTAGGAGGCCAGGAGGGCAGCAACGCCTGTCGGCATCTAGTAAGCACCTTCTCTGGGTGCAAAAAAGGGCTTTCAATAGCTGATAGCTGATCTCATATTCACAGCAAGCCCACGATGCATGGATCATTAGCCCCACGTCACTGGGGGGTGGGGGCGGCGGGGGATAAATGGTTTGTCCGAGATCATGTGGCAAAAGTGTAGTAGACAAGATTTGAACCCAGTGTCCGTTGAGGAGTAACGCTTTCTGTTCTGCAGTGCCACGCTGCCCTGAAGAATGCGCATATGCTCGTAAGGACTGCGGTTGGGATTTTATCCCACCATCCCCACCGTGGGAGCAAGATCCTGGGAACTCCTCAACCCTATGATGGGGAGAACAGCTACATCTGTAGCCTCCCTTCCTAGTGGACAAGGCCTTTTTACGTAAACCTCATCGTATCCTTCTAATAGCCCATGAGCTGGCCAGGCATTGCTCATCCCAGTTTATGGACCAAGTTGCTGGTTGAGAGTAAGTGACTTCCCTGAGGTCAGAGACGTAGGAAGGGAGAAGGCGGCCAGAATCTCTCACCTTCAGACTGTAGCCCAACGTAGGGCTCCAGGCTGAGAAGATCTTAAGCCCCTGGACGTTAAAAGTTCTTTATAACCCTATGATTTAGTCTCTGGCACAAGAGACCCCCAAGCTCCCTGTGAACCAGACATCTCCCATGCGACTTTCCTGAGTATCCGAACGTAAGGCCCTCAGAGTTGTCATGGAGACCTAGACACACCAGGATACTGAGGGCCCCCTGCATCATGAGGATTGGGATTTGCTCAGCATTACAGAGACTCCCCCAGCTTCTTACATAGCCTAGGTCTGATGTCACCCTTGGTCATGAAGGACGTAAAGATACAGGAGAGGCCGACTCGGCCGGAGAGGCAGAGGGGAGAGGGATGGTAGAGCCCAGACACAGCGGGCAGGTTGGAGAGGGGTCTGTCCTGCACATCACATCCTCAGCTCCAGCCACTGCTCAGGCTCAGTTTTCTTTGACTCTTTTCCACTCTTCCACCACTTCCTGTCTGGGGTGTGAGCTCCTGGAGGTCCGGGGTAGCTCCTGGCTCATTTTCCTAGCCTGCAAATCCAGCTGTCATGGCGGCAGGCTCTGGAATTACTGGCTAGTGGGTGGACAGGCCACCTATTTTAAAAATTTCTATCAATCCTGATCCTACTCTGGTTTTTGCACACCAGATCTAGTTGTCGACTTCTAGCACCACTGAGCCAAGCTTGGGCCTCACCCTCGTGACCTGCTACCTCGTCCTACTTGTGTGGTTGGCGGGTCCTGGCAGTCACTGTCCCCTCCCTTGGCACCGCTCCTGCCACCAGGCGCAAGGAGCACACCGAAGCAGAGCTGACCGTGGCCTCTTAAAGTGGATGGGGGGTTCCTTGTTTCTTTTATCACTATGCTTCACGGCTTACACAATGCCACATTATTTTTTCATCGATTCAATATTATATAGTAAAAAATAAAAACGAATTCCCCTTTGGCCACCCCCTCACAGACTTCTCTTGAGAGAGTTGTTTAAATAGCTCTCGTCACTTTTCTCCCTCCCGCCCAGGCTGCAACTTGCTCTGATGGGGCTTTTGCTCTGGCTGCTCCTTGGGAGTTGGTCTCACCGAGGTCACGAATGATCTGCTTGTAAAATCCCATGGGACACTCAAGCCTTGTCTTCTCTCACATCTGGCATGGTTGATCTCTCTCTCTCTTTCTCGAAACTTCTTCTCTGTGATTTCTGAGACATCACACTCTCTCCTTGTTTTGTTCTCCTAGGCAAGCAACTCTTTCTCAGCTCATCCTTAGGGATCCATTATTTCCTCCTCTTCTTTTCCCACCCTATGCACTCTCCTTGGACAATCTCGTCAGCTGTCACCTCTTTCCCTGATGGCCCTCAAGGCCACATGCTAGCTCCCTGTCCATCCCAAGCTCCACACCCCCTGACCTACCATCTGAAATACTGGCTGCCCCACAGGTACCTCAATACCGGATGTCCCAGAATTAACTCATTGTTCTTTTGCCCACTCATTCCCAGGAATCCCCTCTAGCAGACAGGAAGTCCTGTCTGCCCTGCAAGCCCATTTTCCCATCTCCATTCATATATTCAACAGTGCGGTCTTTGATTCTGTCGCCCCAGCTGCTTCTCAAATCTGCCCCCCTTCTTCTGCACATCCACCACCCCGACTCATTGTGTCCCACATAGATTATTTCCACATCTCCCTGCTCCAGTCTTGCCCTTTTTACCCATTCTCTACCCAACAGCCCTTGTGACTTTTTTATTTTTTAAAGATTTATTTATTTATTTGAGAGAGAGAGAAAGAGAGAGTGTGCACTGGCGGGGGTGGGAGGAGAGGCAGAGAGAGAGAGAGTCTAAAGCTGACTCCGTGCTGAGCATGGAGCCTGATGTAGGGCTCGATCTCACGACCCTGAGATCATAACCTGAGCCGAAACAAAGAGTTATATGCTTAACCGACTGCGCCCCTCAGGTGCCCCCCGCCTTGTGATTTTTTTTAAAAGCACAAATCTGATCACCATACTTCACTCTCCTGCTTTAAATCTTATCCTTCAGAATAAGGTCCAGAATTCTCAGTGTGACCCAGGAGACACCTGAGGATTCTAGCATCACCATTCACTCTTCACGCAATGCCTGGCCATCCCAAACACCTTACAGTTTCTGAAGGCGTCGTGCCCTCTCTCAGCTTGGGGTTCAAGCCCCTGTTGCTCCTTTGCCAGGAATGGATTCCCACTCTTTCCACGGCCAAGCTCTGCATGTCTGTTATGACTCAGCTCAGGCACTGACTCTTCTAGGAGGCTGCATGGACCCACCTCCTCTGGATTAGGCAAGAGGATCCCCCATCTATCCCCCTGGACACCTGGCCCCCAGCACCCCATCCCAGCATCAATGGCTGTGGTATATTTGCTACCTTGAGAACAGTCCCTGGCTTATTGTCTTTGTGACCTTAGCACCTAACACAGTGTCCGGGATAGAAGGGTATTCAGTACACATTTGCTGAATGAATAAACAAATGTTTATTTCTTCTTAATTGCTGAATGTTTCCAGAAGAGACAAACATGTTTGTGTGAAGGGAGAAGCTCAGACACAAAAAACTTGAGTCTTCTACCTGGAAATTCCATGTAGGTACCAGGGTAAGGAAATGTCTTATCTTCCTGGTAGGTCAGACCTGGAGCCTCCAAGGATGGCTCCGAAGGAGAACAGAATCTCTGCATGTCCAGGGTTAGCCGGACCCCAAAGCTTAGGCTCCTGTTTCCCAAGATTCACCTGCAAGGCTCTTCCTAATGATTAGCACCTCAGGGCAGTTTTCCTAGGTTGGATCCTAAGTATGGCAGAGATGATGTCACAAAGTTCACCACACTGTGACCTCTCTCCAACCACCCAGGAAGACCTCCCTGCTGCCTCCCTTGCACTTAGGTTGGGAATCACACATCTGAATTCAGGCAACTAGAATGAGTGGGGAGGAGATGGAGAACATTCCCAGATCTGGCCCTTTAAGAGCATCTTCTATTAACCTTAGCTCCCTTCACCTGCCATGGTAACCTTGGAGGTGCAAGAGGGTTGCCCCACCAGCGTTGGACTTGGCATGATTGGGACATAAATCTTCATCGTGTTAAGACACTGAGATTGCGAGGTTATTTGTTACTGAAGCCTGGCCTAGCCCGACTGATACCCTAAGTCAGCACTTACATTCCCACAAAACAACCCAACTTCACATATTGTCAAGGAAATCATCTCCTTCCAGCTGGTGAAGATGGAGATGAGAAGGGCAGACTTGTTGAGATGTGCCCACGGGTGGGCACAGCATGCTTGGAAGCAGGTCAATGGGGCCTCCTTAACCCCAAGGACGCCTCCCACGGCCGTAGAGCCTGTCAGCTCGCTGCCTCAGGGACAGTCTTCTGCAGCACAATGTGGCTCCACGGCACCCATGGTCCCAGCAGCCCGCACCTCCTGCCCCCCGCCCCCTGGCCCCGCTGCTCATCTCTTCAAGGCTGCGTACCACGCTAGCGAGGAGCCAGAGGGGACTCAGGCAGCCTGGAGGCCACACAGTCAGGTTTGAGCCTCTTCAAGTGTATTCAGAACAAAGGTCAACTCTTTGAATGCCAGGTTTGGGGTCGCCTTCATTCCTCAATTTAATTCCCCCTTTCAAACGGAATGAAAGAAATGTGTTGCACAGTTTACCTGGGGTGTGGCAACTTCAGTATTTCCTGCTGGGCATGGAGCCAGCGTGTCCAAAAGGTCCCATGTGCCCACACGTGCGCCCAGAGTGGTGGGGGGGAGGCCGCAGGAAGGGCTCGTCGGGGCGGGAGGAGGCCCCACATGGACAGGGCGCCTCAGACAAGACTGGTCAAGCAATTACAGACAAAACACACAGATGTGCTTCCTTGTCGGGGTGAGCACCTCTTCCTGGCAGGCTGCTGGCGAGCCGGCAGAGCTTGGCATGGGGCCCTTCACTGAGGGACGGAGGGGAGTCTGGGCAAGAGACATCCCTCTGAGTGTTGGGTGTACTTCTAGCTCCAGTCCTGAACCTTCGCCCACCACCTGTCTCTAGATCCCTGAGCTCCCAGTCGCTCCCCTTTCTGCGCTCCTGATACCCAGATCTGAATCATGCCCGGCCTCTACTCCGAACCACAGCTTCCCTTTTTTCGGTTTTGCACACCCTCTGAAAAAGAGCCGTCTCCTGCTTAGAAGAAACTGTCGAAGAATTTGATCCAAAGTGTTAGGTGTTGTTTATTTTGTTTTTACATTTTCTAAAACATGCTTGGATTACCTCTAGAACGATAGAAAAGGTAACGTGAAATGAACATCTTTTTCGTCGGTACTTTGGAGTCCTATAAGAAATAGTCTGGGGCTATGGAGTCTACCTTATGCATCCTTCCCTGCCAGGAAATAGGGGCTCCACCCCAGTAAG